AGATACAAAGATACAATGAAATGTTCATGTGGATCACAATAACTAATGAAATTGTTTCCACTTGATTTATCAGATACAAAATGGCTTCATGATAGTGACTTAGATATGAAACGTCTAAAGCATTTCAGGTTAGGTAAGCATTGCCTCCCAAAAGCACTGATAATACTGTAATAATTATGTAATTTACATTTCTGTTAAATCCTGTTTGTAGCTATTTTGGTCTATATAAACAATTCTAGTCCTTTTAGAATGTAATCTTAAATCTGAAGTACTTGTAAATTAACATCATAATTAGACAAAAGGTTGAAAAGTTTTTTGTTTTGGCTTTTTAAAAAAAATATGCAAGAGAAGACAAGAAGAAAATAAAAAGATTGTGAAAGTATACACTTCAGTCTTACAGGGAGAGAGAGAATGCTGCTTTTAAATGGTTTCTCTGCCATTCTTCCTCGTTCTCTCTGGTGGAGTGACTAGAGACAGGCCAGAGCCTAAAAAGAAGTAAGGTTGTATAAAAAACCTTTTTAACATAATCAAACAACCTAAAAAGGCAGTAAGCTGGTGGCAGCAGCAGGGAAAAGCGCGCAGCTAGTAAGAGATAAGTGACGGCCCACGTGTGCTCCATGGGACGTCTCACTTGCAACGTTCGTGGAAGTGGATCACCAGGCCTTTCTCCCGAGACACCCTGGGTGGACTTCAACCTCCAACCTTTTGGTGAGTAGCCGGGCGCTTCACGCCACAAGTCAGACTAACTCAACCCAACTGGGGTTTTGGTTAAAGAGCTAACTGCCATTTCAATTCACCACAAAACAAGCGTTTAGGTCAAATCACTAGGAAGAATGCCAAGAACAGATTCAAGGTAAAATAATAAATGGGGAGGAAAATGAAAATATGTGAAACCCACTACTAAATTATATCTTAGCTATTTTCCTTTAAAGTACCCAAAAATACACTACAGTTTTAGTGGCTGACAGTGAATACCCTATATACTCGTGTATATGCCAAGTTTTCAGCATATTTTAATGCAGTTTTTATGGTAAAATTAGGTACCTCGGCTGATATTCGGGTCAGCTTATACTCGAGTATATACAGTATATCCAATTTCTTGAACTAAGATGTTTGGCCATTTTAAAGAAAGAGGTCATGACTAAATTAGGTAGGCTCAAGCAGAAAACAGAGTGATGGACTGCTAACTGCAAGGTTGGCAGTTCAAACCCAATCGGTGCTTCTCTGGAGAAACATGAGGCTAGCTGCCCCTGTAAAGATTTGTAGCCTCCGAAATACAGGGTAGCTATGAGTTGGAATTGGCCCCTTGGCAGTGGGTGTGAAGCAGAAAGCAACCACTAGGAATCTAGAGTGCAACCTAGAGCCTAGAATTTGCACCACAAAGTTTTAAGACCCAACATTACTACTAATTAGCATCCTGTCTAAATAATAAATACCATCCCCATTTGGGGGGAGGGGGGGAGTATGTTGTCCTCTTTTGGATATAAGCCACAGAATCACAATGGAGCGTTAGCCAAAGTCAACTAGACTTGCCAATGATAATAGCTAAGGACTTTGCAGATAACCAGTTTATACAGCTCTTAAGATGTAAGGAGTTGAATTATAAGAATTCTGCTTACCATTCTCAACATGGGCAAGCCTGTGCATGAGAGACAGCCAGACAAGGCACTGGGGAGGAGGATCAGCCATCATTGTGTCTAAAAACATATTCAGCATTATCTTTTTCTGTAAAGAGAAGGGGTGGGGTAGGACATTTCTATATTATTCGAATAGCTCCAAAGATTCCGTTAACCTAGGATTCTCCCAACTAGGCTTAATAAACCACGTGTTGAAGTAATATAGCAAAATAATCGTTTACATTACTACAGACATGATGACACATGACATGCTAAACGCAAATGTACCGCCACATACATCACTTGATTT